AAAGATATATTGTGTGAAAGATATATTGTGTGAAAGATATATTGTGTAACCGCGTGTTAACTTAGAGCTTCTGTGTTTAGTTAGATATTGCAGTGTAATTGTGTAAATAGGATTCAGAGTAGCGTAGCGGTTAGCGCCTGTTAGTAGCAGCTGTGTTTTCTACAGCTTTTTCAGTTACACGTACCACGTTCAGTGAGGTTTTTGTGATTATTTTTGTACTAATTATTTACTGTGTATACTCTGTCAAACTCCCTTTTGGAGTCTCTTTCTTTTGATTGTTGTCCACCGGGTTTTGCCCTTTGTTTGTGCCAGGCTGTAGGCCTTATTATTTTGGTCCACCATTATATTTATAATAAAACTACTTATAACTTTTACCAATTCCATTCTGGTTTGTGTTGCTTCCCTTTGGTTCCCCTAGCCCAGTAGGGAACGTAATACATGGGGGCTCGTCCGGGATAAATAACTTAATTCCTGGGGTTATAAGTGTTTTTTTATTGCTAAAAACAATTTGGTAAGGTTGTGTGCGGTTTTAGCTGAGTATGGCACTCCTCGATTTTGAGTCTTTTTTAGTCTGTCCTTCATATGAGCAGTTGGATCAGTGTCGTAAAGACGATTTATTTGAGATTGCGCAACATTTCGGTCTCACAGTGGCAAAACAATTATTTAAAAAATAGTTAAAGGCTCTGGTGGTGGATGAGTTGGTGGAAAGGGGTTTTCTGGTGCTGCCTGCACAAGCTGAGCTCACTGTGCCTATATATGTCCTTGCTAAAGGAGAGGGTAGTGACAGCGAGGGGAGCGAGCAGTGTAAAGCACCGTCCGCGCCGCCTCGCTATAGTCCACCGTCTCCTGGTAGTCCAGATTCCCGGGAAGGGAGTAGACTCAAAGTCCGTCTCGCACGGCTTCAGTTAGAGGCAAAAGACAAGGAGCAAGACAGCCAGTATCAGTTTCAATTGAAAATAAGAAAGCTGGAAATCGACAAGGAAGTCAGGATGCGTCAGCTGGAGCTAGACTCATAACTGCGCGCATCCGGTGCTTTTGACCATGCCGGAGGAAGCCTATCATCGTTAGTGCCAACCTTCCGTAAGACTGAGGTGGATGCCTATTTTGGTGCCTTCGAGCGCAATGCTACAGCGTTGCGGTGGCCGGCTGAAGTTTGGGCTCTGGTGGTAACGTGTAAACTACATGGAAAAGCTCAGGAAGCAGTTGCGGCTCTCACGTTAGAGGACAGTCTGCAGTATGACTCAGTGAAGGTTGCCATTCTCAGAGTGTATGAGTTATGGCCCGTCCACACAGCGGCGTGCGTTGAAGCTTCCAACGCTTCTGCCTATTCACTTTGAATTGGGTGATGTCACTTTTAGCCAAACTGCATTTTGGGAAGCGACGTGGAGCGTTGCTGGCTTCAAAAGTTGAGCAATGTTCAACTTTTGACGCCTCGACGGAGGCGTCAGCCAATGAAATCCCGTTTATGCAAATCTGCCAGTACAAGCGCTAGCCAATCAAACTGCGTGTATGCTGGGAGAGACTACGCAGGTCAATTTCCTCATATTCCAAAAAATTGAGGGAAAATTCATTATAGCGGTAGTGAATCACCCGGTGCTGTATGATCAGTCTCTGTTCATCTACCGGGATACAAACCGGAGGAGCGAGGCATGGAGGGAGGTGGCAGAGACAGTGGATGAAACTGGTAGGTTTTCGCCTGTTTGGGGATTTTATATCCAGTTTACTTCGTTTTAACATTGCTATTGCTTTGTATGTCGGGGGCGGGAGATTCATGTGATTGGTTGTTGGTCGCGTTGCTCACAAAAAATCCCCAAGCTTCAGATACGCCCACCTCCAAGCGTCAACGCACGCTGCTGTGTGGACGCTCCGTTAGTCCCTCCTAAAGTTTACCGGCAAAAGTTTAGACACCATAGGAAGGGTCCTGATCAAACTCACGCCGAGTTCGCCAGAGAAAAGGGAATGTTTTTTGTGGATTGTCTCATGTAATGCTACCGATTATTCTTCTCTGAGGGAATTGATCATGTTGGAGGAGTTTAAGAAATGTTTGCCTGATCGCATTGTTATGTACCTGAATGAACAAAAGGTAAACTCTCTCTCTGCTGCCGCTGTGTTAGCCGATGAGTATGTGCTCACTCATAAATCTGTGTTTCCTTCGGTCTTTACTGAGAGATCCCGCTGTGTGTCAGCCGCACCATTTACTCAGCGATCAAATGTGTGTGATGTAACAAGAGAGGAGAGAGAGTGCTTTTACTGTCACCAACCTGGACATATTATCGCCAACTGTGCAGCTCTGAAGCGTAAAGAACAGCGGCAGAATGTCCCCACCAAAAGGCATTGGCCTGGTTACACACACACGCGCGCAGGCAAGTAAAAGTGACTCTGATGTCTCATTGTCTGATCCTGTGTTTGTGCCGGTGCCTTCAGATGAAGCTGTGTCCGAGGAGAAGCCAGAAATTGTGGCTCCCCCTCGTGAGGATGTCGTGAGACCAGCGCAACACGCCGGCTCAGACAAGCCTCTCGACTTTTCGACCTCCCCGGTAACCCGAGAGCGTCAGCTCGTTTATCGGATCCTAGTGTTGGTGTTAGCTCTACAACATCTTAAGATTCATGTTGGACCCAGCCTTTGGCCAATTGTGGTGTTTAGCTGTTACGATCCCTTCATATTCTGCCCCAGCGTGTCCAAGCACAACCAGCGTCTCATGCAATGGGCTCTGATTGTGCGGGACTACAACATTAGACACCCGTCATTAAAGGGCTCAGAGAATGTGTTGGCCGATGCTTTGTCCAGGTTGAGTTTGTGATGTTAGAATGTGTGTTAGTAGGAGTTTCGTTAGTGTGCTTACAGTAGTTTCACACAACCTGTGGGTTTGTGTCTTAAGGGGGGGAGTGTTACGGCTGCTGCCTTCCGGGTCGTCTTTATTGTATTGATCTGTGTGGTATGTAAATGGGCAGTGCGATTGCCCTGACGTCATTGGCTGCCATCTCCTGGTCCGCCCCCTGAGGATTGTGATTGGAGCACGCCGGGCCCGACGCACTCCAATCGCAGCGCACAGCCGGCGCGCACCTGCTGGAGATGACTTCAAAGCCTGGGGACAATCATCACTATGACATAGTATGAGGGCTCTGTGATGTGGGACAGACGCCTCTAGCCTCTTGGTGCATTTACTTGTTTGGTTGACGTTTAGTGCTTTTGTGTTATGTGCTAAAGTTGTACTGTTTAGCAGCGTGTTAAACCCAGTGCTTCTGTGTGTGATAAGAGATTACCGTGTACATGTGTAAATAGGTTCCAGGGTAGCTTAACGGTTAGCACCTGTCGATCAGCAGCAGCTGTGGTTTTTGCACAGCCTTTTCAATTACATGTACCACATTTAACGTGAGGTTTTTGTTTTCCCTTTTATTTAATTATTACTCCGTATGATCTGCCAAACTCCCTTTTGGAGTCCTCCTTTGTTTGTTCATTAGTTAAGTCGGCGCCCTTTGGCCCTTTTGTTTGTTTCAGGCTGCTTGCCTGCCATTTTGTTTCATCCTTTTATAATAAAAACCATTTATAATTATTACCAATTCCAATCTGGTGTATGTTGCTTTCCTCTTCCCCTAGTCGGGACGTAACACCTACTTTCATTTAAAAGCAATCCTGTACCTTTAGAAAGCCAATCCCAGGGAATCACTTTTGTAAAATTCTCCGCAGCGCCCAAAGATCCACCCAGTATGAAGCAGATAGAAAATCAATTCCTCTCTTGCTTTCTGGTTTCTTCAATATCTGCATGCACAGGTCCTCTCTGTTAACTCGTTAACACAGGAACCTCAGGCTCTTCTGAATCGAAGGCTATTTAAAAGCCCAGACTGTGCTTTTTACTGCACAGAGCTGCTGAATGGTACTCTGTGTTTCCATTAAGGCATAGAGCCGATGGATTGATTTCTTACTGAGATCATACTCTTCAGTAAAAACACACATCATTTACGTCTGGTCATTGGTTTCCTCTAATGTTTCATCTACAGTGGAGAAAATCAAAAAATCCATACCAAGGAGAAGCAATGTCAAAATAAGGTAAAAATATGAGATTTTGATGTCACAGACTATCTGATTGCACTGACTCACTCAGGGTTGGGAAGATAACTTTAAAAATGTATTACAGGGCAACTGTATAGCTCGATAGGTGAGATGGTGGCCCATGTTTTGGGTCTTGGTCCCCAAGCAGAAGACCGGGGTTTGAATCCGGTCTGGGACCATTTGCTGCATGTCATCCCCTCTGTCATTCAACTCTGTCTCTACAACAAGGGCACTGGTTGCCCCAAAATCTTTAAAAAAATTAAAAATAATAATGACTTACTACCTGGAATTATTTTGTAATGAGTAACCTAATCTTAGCATCACAATATAAAAAGTAACCTGATTTATTCCCGTTTGGATTGCCTCAATATCAAATGCAGGAAAAGAAAAACATATGAATCATACAGAATATTTTACCCACTACACCAACACATTGCCTAAATGACAATCGAAAAGCAAGTTCAGGCAGTATGCCATTGACAACAAAATAGTATAATTTATAATGCATTCACCTCCAAATCTTTCTTCAAATGATATGTACACAGTGTAATGACAGTGTATTAACATCTCAAAGTACTGCTTGGTACTGAAGACTATTTTTGTTTCCCTTTTCTCCTTTTAAAATAAAACATAATGGTCGAGATAAATTGCAAATTAGCTATGGTTTCGTTGAAACTCATTTCACTCGGTGTTGTGAGACTCTTGACGTTTTTAGTCTGTATGTGTTTCCTAATATATATTGTAATTAAATTGTTTTGTAATCTAAATACGTTCTTTTTTTATGTAACTCTAATGGATTACAGTTAGCCTTATTTTTTACCCTGATTACAAAATCTTGTCACATGTTATCCGTTATTCCCAACCCTGCTCACAGTGCTCTCTGAATGCAGCAACAGGAAGCCTCCAGCACACTGAGTTATATAATACAGATGTTTGGGCTGATTCCTACCTTGCGACAGGCGGACGGGCTGAGTGACCTGGAGCCCGTCGATGGCACAGAGGTTCCCACAGGGGTGCAGCGTGATGACCCCCGACCTGTTCTCGATGTAGCAGTGCTGGGCAGCCACTCCGGGGCCCTGCAGGTTGATGTCCATGGGACCATGACCCATTGTGGTCCGGCCTGGGGAAGAAAGAGGATATTGATAAACCAATATTACCTGTTAAGATATATGTATATATCAAAGGATTTTTTTTAACTCTTTTCATTGATTTTCTCAGTCTTTAAACATTGAGTACCATACCATATTAAACAAACCGGAGCATATCCAAACCTTTATCCTTCCTCCCTACACATGCACCTACTTACATCATAAAATGAAAATTATAATAATAATTACAATACAAAATTCTAACTTGGAAATAAATAAATGAATATTATTTAAATAGATATTTGATATGACAGGCCAAAGTGTTCATAATCTAAATCCATATTTTTAGATCAAATGATGACCACTATAACCATATTATATGGAATTTAGCTTTAACTGATTACATTTAGGCAGGTACTTATTCTGGCTGAATTCAACAACCTCCACCAACAACTAAGGTCTGCCTGTCTGTAACCTAAGAGTCAAAACCCAGGGCATAATAAGGATGAATTTCTCTCACTGCCTTGTAGGTAAGAATGGAGAAACCAGCTCGAGTGCGCTAGAATTTGAAAGTACACAACCGAAAAAAATCTGCCCCTTCCTTCAGAGTTCCTTACAGAGCCCCTCCTCCAACACACACGAACGCGCACATGACCAATGAGGGCACGAGATAGGTTTGTGCACGAGATGGAAGGCTGACAGGCAGGTAGGGCATCCAATTATCTGCTGCGGGCCGAGGCAGATGATTGGTCGTGCTTTTTACAGTACTACGGCTTCCACAGATGAAATATTTGTATATATTTATTGTCAAAGCATTTCATTCATTCATTGCTATCGGGATGTTAAGAGCATTCCATGGAATATGACAAAAAGTGTTTCTGAATTGAATTACCTACCCCACCTTTAAGAGGCTAAAGTAGTAACTGACTCACAAGAGTTATCAAGATGTGTATCTTTGTGGCTGGACAACAATCAGAGAGTTCATAAAAGAAAGAGGGACAGCCCCCCCTACCTAGAAACAATAGTTTCGCTAACGCCCTCCAGAAACTAATAGACTGTCAAAGGCAATACACCTTTGCACAGACACAGACACACAGACACACACACTGACTCACACACACTATCCTTGCCTGGACATAATCTGTGGAATCTCCCTGCATACCAGCCTGCAGAGGCACAGACAGGCAGGAAAGCCTGAAATAGATGTTTATAGACCCACAAATTAAAAGATTAATGACACCTGAACAATTGCCTAAAGGTTCCACCTGAGAGTGCAATAAAATACAGTTTGCAACAGTTCGTTTTATATAACAAAAGCTGGCGTACTGGACTTTTAAATATAAATCCTTTATATTGAAGCCCCTGCTTGAATGTCCACAACATGTTGCTTAAGCCAGGGATATCTCTCTAACTATATTGTGGTGTCAGGAGTGCTCTCCTAATGTCCTAGACGGTTTGACAGACAGACAGGGCATCAAAGAAAGAGCTAAGAGGTCACCAGACAGAAACACAAAGAGGCCGACAAGGACGAGAGAGAGATAGATAGAGAGGTGATAACAGGGTCAGGTCACCAGAGATAGTAGTGTGTGTGTGTGTGTGTGTGTGTGTGTGTGTGTGTGTGTGTGTGTGTGTGTGTGTGTGTGTGTGTGTGTGTGTGTGTGTGTGTGTGTGTGTGTGTGTGTGTGTGTGTGTGTGTGTGTGTGTGTGTGTGTGTGTGTGTGTGTGTGTGTGTGTGTGTGTGTGTGTGTGTGTGTGTGTGTGTGTGTGTGTGTGTGTGTGTGTGTGTGTGTGTGTGTGTGTGTGTGGTGAGTGCGTGTGCATGTGTGTCTTTGTGGACCATTGTTCAAATCAATGTTATACTGCAGTGTTATGACTTAGCTCTGGGCGATATGGCATCTTTCACCCTGATATAGGTCATCTCACAAAAACTAAATTGCGATCTTGAATTGATATTACCTCAAAACATATTGCAATACACTTTCTGAGAAACTTGAGTTTGTATGTAATATTATGAATGAAGTCAATGTAATTGTGCATCCTGATATATCGTGATATATCGTGACAAAGACGTCAGTAGCATCTGTGTGATTCTGTGAAGCTAAGCTAAGTGTGGGTGTCACAGTGGGGTCTCACCCTCGGGCAGGGGCAGCAGGGTGATGGCGGTGCTCAGACGTCCGCTGCCCAGGCTCACCAGGTGGGGGCGCTCTGCCTGGAACTTCAGACCCTTCCCTGTCTCAAGGAAATCCAGAGGAGTGCTCTGGAGAGGAGAACAAAGGTCACAAATACAGTGTAAATTATTATTGCCTTTATTTTGGGTTCTTGGTTTTAATGTCCCGTTCAGCATGATCATCGGACGCTTCTTTCCTTTTTTGAGTTGAGCTCACAATAAACAACAGAACAGAAGCAGATTTTACATTGATATTAGAAAATAGATATATACAGTATAATCTATATACATGATTGTTCATCTTGTTTACTCATAACATTTTACAAATGCAGCTATGCACTTACTGTACATAAACCATGCATACATCAGAATCAGTATACCTTTATTATTAGGGGAAAAACGATACATGCGACAAGATATAACGCAAACATACTAAAAAGTGAGAATAAAAAGACGAAAGTAAAACAAACAAAAAACCCCATAGACCTCAGCTATCCATCTTTTCATCCATTCAATTTCTTTTGCCAAGATAAAAAAACGAGATATGCAATATACCTGTAAAAAACGGTGTGATTTTGGGGGTTCTTAAAGAGGGTCGTTATAATATTACATTATTTTCATTTCATTTATGTGTCTTAAATAAAGGCCATACTGTAATTAAAAAAGTTATCTTTGGAAATGTGACTTTATTTGCACTTTTTCCAATACAAAAACGTCTTTGTGATATGATACGCAACGTAATCCTGATGACATTTAATACGTTGTTATCCAAAACTGGACATTACGACATACTGCATGTAATCTACACCTCGAAAGTAAAGAGGATACTTTCTTTTCTCTATTTCCCCACAACTGAACTCCATGGACCTGACCAGTAGTGTTTCCTCTCCGTTAGCTGAATTAATGAGTTGTGCATGACACAAACGTATTGAATATGTGGCACTGAGGAGATAGCACTGATATTCCTGCACACGCTGCAGCTTTCCTGCCTCACTTGTGTTTTTCGCTATAGGAGGTCCTTTCCATAGACCGTTAACATATCTTACAACACACTGAGAGGAAGTGTGTGTATGTGTGTGTCGTCTACCCCTTAAAGCCTAAAGCGCCGCTGCGTGCTCTCGGCACAGCAAGGGAGAAGGGACGTCGCCATAGCAACAGCAGTTAAGAAACATGGAGCTCCTGGAGGGCGCTCGACGAGATAAACTTGTGAAGAGCAGTTTTCACCGCAGCGACGCCACAACATAAAGACTATTCTGCTTTTTAGACATCTGCTTAGTGTTAAATGACTCTTTCTCTTTGCCTCCCAGGGTTTAAAATAATACATTACATCTCCTGTTGTGTAACATCAATTATTCCAAAGATAGAACATGGTGAGAAAGAATGAAATATACGCCAGGCCTTCCTTTGGAATGATTATCCCTTTAGCGCTTGTGGATTTTTTTTTTTAAATTGAGTGATTTATTTTCAGTTTATTATTATTGTCTCCATGCTTTAATGTTCAAAAAGCTCTTTATTTTTCTACTGCCTGTGCTGCAGCACCTCTTTTCACCCTCTGTCTGAAACCAGAGCCCAGTCTGCTCTGATTGGTTAGCTGGCTGGCTCTATTTTGACAGCTAAGAGACGTCCCGCCCCTAATCTCGTAAAATGTGTTGGAGTATTAGCCAATAGAAGTGGGTGTGTTACATAGTGATATCACTATGTTACTAAAGTAAACAAAGGAGTCCAATGGAGGCGTTTCAGGCAGCGGGGGGGATTGTGTGGTCCAATACAGGAAAGGGTCACCCAAAAAAGGCGGAAAAGGGCCTCGTTACTTGGATCTATTAGCTATATTACTTCTTTCTTCAAATTAAACCCTCTAACTCTTAAACCAATCCGTCACACATGTGTATTAAGATCACACATTGGACATAATGATTTGTTGTGTTACTTAAGTATTGCTTTATGTAGTGTTTATCCAAATCATATCGAAATAACAGTATATTTCAATAAAAATACTGTACATCAAAATGTAGAAGCATCCGACTCACAGGAACCCCCAAGGTGGACACATTTTGCTTCACAATTTAACAGATGATTTAGCATCCTTTATAATTCAGCATGACTATAATTGTACATGCTGTGTGAAACAGTGACTGCTGATCATTTAGCATTCACGGCTAAGGTCAGCTCTGTGCCAGGTGAAGTGTTAAATGAACTCTGATGGGCGCCGTGGATTTACATTTTAAAACCTGCTGCGTCAGCGTTTTTTTGTCCCACTTTGGAGCCCTTTCACATTTGTTATTTACAATCTGTACGCGATCATTGACTCGGCTCTCGGCTGGCTAGCTAGCTGTGTGGGCTAATAGGATTATGTGATTGTGCTGTTGCCGTCTGTGAAGTGGGGTCAAGCCTAAGAGGATTGCTGAGATAGAGACTGGGAGGCAGTGGGGGGGCTTTACTGGGAGTGATGGCAGCAGAGGGGCGGGGCCAGATAGCCAACACTGCAGGACTCCTTCAACCTCATTGTCTGTGTGCTGCTGCTCCCATGTGGAGCACACTGCAACAACCTGATACATGCAGAGCATCATAGTGTAATGAGTGCATGCAACGTCAATTCTTCTTAGATCATATATTTGATTAAGTGTTTATCATCAACACTTTTTTCCCACCAGGTAACATAATCTGTGTTATTGTCAGTTTTTACTTTATTTTACATTTTCTAACATTAACTTACAAGTCAATTCCATGCACCTTCACTAGACTGATTGTATCTGAGTTTTTGTTACTTTATCTATTATAACTTATTTTGCATCACTTATGTTGTCATGCCTTATTTATTCTTAAAGTGTAAATTCTTTAAGTATGCGTAAAGTTTTAAAAACAATATATTTGAGTCTGAAACAGCTAATATACAAATAAATGAACTAAATAATAATAATAATAACTTTATTTGTATAGCACTGTTCATGCATGTATATTAATAATAAAGTTATTGGATCTGGAATCTTTCTGGCTTGAGTATTTTCAATACAAATTGGAAAAAACATAGTCCTTGCCAACAAGACTCGTCTCTAGTCGCTAAAGTCCTAAGTGTTAAAGACAGGACACATAATACCTTTGTCAGACCCCTGCCTTCAGAACTGCCTCAATTCTTCGTGGCATAGACTCAACAAGGTGCTGGAAACATTCCTTAGAGACTTTGGTCCATATTGACATGATAGCGTCACACAGTTGCTGCAGATTTGTCGGCTGCACATCAATCTCTGGTTCCACCACATCCCAAAGGTGCTCTATTGGATGTATATCTGGTGACTGTGGAGGCCGAGTACAGTGAACTCATTGTCATGTTCAGGAAACCAGTTGGAGATTATTTGATATCATTGCCTTTCTATTATCTTGAACCAACCTGGCCATTCTCCTCAGACCTCTGGCCACAACAAGGCATTTTGGCCCAGAGGACTGCCCCTGACTGGATATCTTCCCATTTTTTTCACGAGCAGTTGAACAGGTGTACCTAATGATATGGCCGGTGAGTGTATGTATATATATATTATTTGATTTTTTTTAAGGAAATGGCACTTTTGGAGTGGTGCAGGAAGGAGTCGTTAAACCCGTAAAAGACTTAGTAGGCCTACATCACCACTTCCAATTCCCTAGTGTCAAAGTCAAATCTTTTTGAATGTCTGATTTAATCCATGAAATAAGGTTTGTGGTTAACACAAGCTTACGAGAGTGACTAAATAAACTACTAAATGTCATCACACATACAAAACTCTGCCTTTAGCTTAGCATTGGTGATGCGCAGCCATGCAACTGTGATTTAAAGGCCCAATCCCAAACCGCCCCCTACACCCTCCCCCTACACCAGTGTTTCTCAAACTTTTTCATACCAAGGACCACTTAACCAATAAAAAAACACTCGAGGACCACCTAACTCCACAAATATCCAAAAACACATTGTTTTTTACAAATCGCCTGAAAATGGTACAAACAAGTGGCAACATGTGTGATGAAGGTGTTTATCTGGGCTATATCATGCAATCGAAAGTGAAACGTAAGCGTGCTCCATTGCGGAGATATTCGCGCGAGAGTGCGGAAAACTTAAATTACTTAATTAATTTCAAATGTGAAATGTTACCAATATACTCACGGACCACTAGGGGGCGCTCACGGACCACCAGTGGTCCGCGGACCACACTTTGAGAAGCACTGCCCTACACCCTACCCCTCCGTGTGCGCGTTCGCGCGGAGGGTCCGCCACATTAAGTGCTGTTCCAAACCAACGAGTGTGGAGCGGTGTGGAGGGGGAGTGGGCTATCAAGCCCTCAAACAGCGAGTCTGCAGCGATGCTGACTGGAGACCGGTCTCTACCTGACCGGTCTCAACGCTGTGTGTGTCCGTCAGGAAACACGCTGTTTACAAGTAGTTCCAGCAAACATCCACTGATAAACTGCGATGTTAACAACCTCATGATAACCTCGTATTTTTTAATTTAGGATCATACCTGTGTTTAGTCTAGAAAAAGGTAAATGTGTGCATTTTATTATAAAGTTGTGTATATTTACAGACTGTTGCAAAAACTAAGAAGCTTATAAACATCAGGTTTAAAACTAAAAGAGCTTTGAAACACAATGAAAGATGTTTGGAGTTTTATTTGAGTTATTAATTTAATTTTTTTGTCAAAGAGATGCTGATTTGAAACCGTTGTTACATACAGTTACGGCATTTCCTGTTTCTGCCGGAGAGAGGGGAGGCCGTCCCAAAGCTTGCTGCTGTATTTACTCCCTCCATCTGACAGGAGGGGCCTCATGTGTCACCCCACGGAGTTCACTCCGTCACGGAGGGGGAGTGTGTAGGGGTAGGGTGTAGGGCGTGGTTTGGGATTGGGACACAGTTTGTTTATAGCCTAACGATAGCTTTTTACATATAGGCTACCAATTGCATCCGATCAGAACATTCTTACAACGTGTTGTTAATATGTGGAGATTATCCTGCTGAACAAAAAATTATAAGTATCATGATGTGGGTCTGCCACAGAGTTTACTTTTGGCTGTAGGCCTATACCGAAATCACTGCATCATTCTATAGTGCCTTAATACGATTTTAGACACGAAAACAATTCCAGATTCTCACAGTTTCTTTAGAGAAAACATAACATTTAATAGGGTTTTATCTTCCATTTTGTATTCCTTATAACTACGATACATATAGAAGTAGTTACTGAACATACACACACTCACACACAGATACCACATCATTTTTTCTTTGTACTGTTTCTTTTCTGATTTTATGTAAAGCGTCTTTGAGCATTAGGAAAAGCGCTATAAAAATCCAATGTATTATTATTATTATTATTATCATTTTGTTGAGAATTACCCTAGCCCAAAAAATAGACAGAAATGTGTTTATTCCAAAATGTTCACACTTTTGTCCCCAATTGTAGCTTAACTAAGGACACACACACACACACAAACAAACACACACACACACACACACACACACACACACACACACACACACCCCTCCCACACACCCCTCCCCTTAACACCTAATGTGATTGACCCAGCAGGTGGGAAACACAGACATCCAATCTCCGGTTCTGTCTAATTACTGACTCTGCCTGAAGATTCCTGCTTTACACATCCTGACATATGCTGTCAGGACGCATCCCACCAAGCTGTACCACCTGACCTGACCTGCTGGGAACATGGAACAAAACTGACACTGAAAACCAGTGGTGGAAGTATGCAGAACCTTTACTTGAGTAAAAGTACAAATTCTGCAATGTAAAAATACTCCAAAACAAGTAAGTACCCTGCATTAACAACTCTGTATTTAAAGTATTAGAGTAAAAGTACTGGTTTGATTGATATAATGATAATTCATACTCAATCATCAATGTAAGAGCAGCATGTTACTGTGTTATCTGCTGAAGCTGGAGCTATTCTAAATGAATAGTTTTGAATCCAGATTTAAAACTGTAAAATTATTTATTTTTTATTTTTTTAATTGTGGTAAACAATGGTAAAAAGTAGCAGTAAACCAATGAAAATAAAGCGTAAATGCAAATACAGTAAGTGTATATTGCACAGTGGAAGCGGAAGTTTGAACTATCACACAACAGAAATACTCCACCATGACAGATAACATATGACTCCCACTCGTTCCTGTCATGTGCTCTCCCATCACCCTTATCCCCAAAACACACTCACCTTTAGCACCTGGTGTGTTTTCCTTCCAAACTCGGGCATGTTGCTGTTCAGCCGGTCCATGTCCACTGAGCTGTCCCCGGCTCCCTGCGACACATGCATGTCCTGAGGGAGGAAATGAGAACATTCATCAGACACACTATGAGTAACCAAAAGTGTCCACGGGTGACTTCATCTCTGCAGGACAACAACGGTTAGTAACTATCAAAATCCTGCTTAATGGGATTCCCCCTCCCCACTCTGCCTTAATGTGTCAAGGTGTGATTCATGCTGTCAGCGCACTCACGCACACAACAGATGGTAGACAGCATTTAGCGACGCGCTCAGAGGAAGTAAAACACGCACACACATTTAAATCTCTTGGCAGTTGACACATTCGTTGGAAATCAGCCACCTTGGCTGTTCTCTTGTCTCTCAGTCACTATGAAAAACACACTGTGCCTAAATTCCTCCCTTCTTACTCAGTAGTTTTGGGCCATTTCCATCAAGTCAGCACAGAGCAAACAGCTATAAATATATTCCATGTCCGTACACGTGTTAAGTGGCCAGATTCGGTATGAGAAGCACAGATAAACACATGGAGAGGTTTGAAAACACATTCACAGTGTATCAGAGAGTACACCCGGAGTCATTTGGATCCTTAAAATGTTTTGCAGCCAGGATGGAAAATATGTTTCTGATGTGCTCTGCCATCAGGATAACAACACACTGCTGCAATATCATCTTATTTGCTCTTCTGACATTCCCATGGAAGGATATTCAGCAACGGAGTCAGCCTCAGGAAGCAGTTAATCACAAGAAATAAAAACAAATGTTGGGAAAATGTCTATCTGGAAACACTTTTGTGCAAAACTATTTTCTGAGCCAGAGGGAACTAACGCAAAAATGCTTCCCAGCTCATGTTTAAAGCAATATTTCAACCAAATTTCTTGTGTTAACCTGTCTTTTGCTGCATCTTAATATAATAATTACCTGTCTCCAGTTGTCCAGCACTCGCAGAGCCTCCATTGCAAAGAGCTGCTCCTGGCTACTGACTCACTCCTATCAGTGTGGACTCGATTAACCGGGACACCTCTAAGACTGAATGACAATTTCTTCAATGCTGCTTCTTCTTGTCATGAAACACAGATTGTCTCTTTGTCTTGATCTCAGCTCTTTGTCTATAAGCAACCGGTGCAGTATCCTCCATAAGCTACCATTCAGGAGGAGGACCTGTTGCTGCTTGCTCCACTAAACTAAGACCTACATTCCTGACTGGCAGCACCAAAATCCCCGATAACAGAGACGTGTGTGTGTGTGTGCGCGTGTGTGTGTTTAAGCAGTGATCAAAAGAGACGACGAAGAAGAAAAGAGGAAAGAAGGAAGAGAGAGTGATGACTGAAGGGATTTGATACATAAAGCTCAGAAATAGAAGTGTAGAGTAGTGAATTTGTTGTAGGAGGAATCAGGGGCCCAGTCCAGTTAAAGTGTTTTTCTCCATCAGCATTTTAGATAACTTGTAAGTGATATGGTCGCCTCTGTGACAGCACCACCATCAATGATACCACAAAGACATTAGATTTTGGGCTGGAAAGTGACGTCACTTTAAGACAGCAGTCTTCATGGATTAGAGCCCAAGGCTATACTTTAGGTAATACTCGCTGAAGATGATTTAGGTAATCAGCACTAAAGGTACTTTAGGTTATACTCAGTATAGGAATTTAAGTGATACTCACTATAGGTCATTTAGTTAATTCTCACTTTAGGTACTTTAGTTTATACTCACTATAGGTACTTTTGGTTAAACATACTATAGGTAGGCTACTTTAGATAATACTCAGTATATGTACTTCAAGTAATACTCACTTTAGGTCATACTCAGTATATGTACTTTAGGTAATACTAGATGTACATAATGTAGGTAATAATCATTATGTACTTTAGATAATACTCATTATAGGTACTTTAGGTAATACTCACTATAGCAGCGGTTCTCAACTGGTGGGCGGACCCGTTTCGAGTGGGTCGCAAATGTGTGAGTGAAGACATTTTCTTTTGAAAATTTATTTTTTCTTTTGAAGTCCCGATTTTCTAACGCTGTGCATGCAGTAGGCGTTGGACTGGAAGTACCGGAGACCATCAATGGTTTTGAAAACTTCTGTCACGTAGTGATCATCTTCTCAATAAAACATCTTTGCTGATGTTTTTTCGAGTCTTCTGGCCAATCAGAATCAAGATTGTTGCCGGAAGTCCCCACGGAGAATAACTTTGTGGTAGAATTACTCTTTATACATCCATGAGTACAACTTCAGAAAAAAATGAACACATAATGAAATATGACCCCCGGTTTGATGACTGGCAGGTCACAGAACAATGGGGGCTATCTACCCTACCCACAATCTCCTCTTTGCCCTTCTCTCTGTGCAACCCAGTCTCATGGCATTTCGTGTTCACCAACACGATTTTTAATCTATTGATTCGTGTTCACCAACACGATTTCCTCCTTTTTTTCGTGTTGCACAGCACGATTTTAAAAGCAATGTATTTCTACTGGTAATGTATTTTTCTCCGGTCGGGTCGTGGAAGACCGGAAGCTGTGTGGTTCATAAAAACATGTTCTTACTCAATATCAAGCCACAGTTATTGCTTTTATTTTAAATCGTATAATTTCGGACTTTTGTTGCCGTCTGTGAGGAAAATAAATGGGACTCAGAGCCTCAGGATACTGAAATCTGTATTTTTAAAATATTTTTTTCCTTCTAATTTGTTATTCTTTTCAAAATAACACACTGTTATTTACTCACCAATAACACACAATTATCCTTGCTTTTATTTATTGGTTTAATTCCATAATCTCTGGCTTTTTTGGCATCCGTCAGGAACTGAATTTCAAAATAAAAATAACCGGAAACAGACGTAGGCATTTCGAGCGATTACCCAAGATCCTCAGCTATGGTTTTAAGCTCGCTGATTGGATGTTTTAGCCGCAATGCATGCTGGGATTTGGTGTTTATGTGATATAAAATCCGGAAAACATTTTAAAAGAATAAAATAATACTTAATTCGGAGTGCTCTTGCTTTTCTCTTTCAAAGTCATCACATAACGGCATTGTAATACACGGTTCGGCTGCATTACAGATCTGCCGTAGTTCTTTATTTATAGAGCCCTGATGAGAAGACCTTTGGAAAAACTGAAGAAATGCCGCCAAAACTGAATACTTGACGTGATTCATAAATATATCAACAATTAAACAACATCTTCAATTTCTCTTCACACAATACGTCTCCTTGCAGTATCAACACTAATTCGGCTGACTTTTACATTTGATCTAATTCATAGATAGGTTATATTTACACCATAACGGTGCACAGCTGATATAAAAGGACTGTAGTTTTTAAAGATATTACTGATTTTCTTTGAATGTAAGAATCTAAATACTGAGTCTGAAATAGTATAGCAATATGCTGTAAAATTATGTGAAAGCATGAATAAAACTACACATCTTCAGATGTTGTACATACACAAGTGTCCTACACTAATAATACAAAGTTATTATGGCTGTGTGTACCTTGTGTGCACCTCCTAGTGGTTAAAGCACGTTATTGAATTATTGTTTTTATGTGTTATATTTGATTAAAACAATATTAAGAGTACATACTTTCATAGGGGGAAAGTATAAATATAGAAATATAGAATATAAAAAATCAAGAAGATACTATAAGTGATCTCTACAATAAAACAGTTTAGTGCAGGATGTACAAAGATATTAATAGGAGGAGGTGGAAAACAGAAAAACGAATTAAGCTTTATTTAAACATTAAATAACAGATTAAGGTCTTCTTTTAAATAAGAAAAAAACTTTGGGGGTATCTATCTACAGATAAATATTAAGCCTGACAAAGTACTTAATGTCTAATATATTGCTTTCCTGCAATGTTAACTATGTTGAAGCACTTATTTTAACTGATATTATACATATGAATTATACTCTTATGTATGTAGATAGAATAAGAACTGTGCAGAATATGACAGTTTAATGGTGGAGGTACACACACATATTGATAGATGTCTTGTAATGCACTGTTGAGGAACCTGTGACCCAAGTTTTTCATTCATTGCATAACTACACCGTAGTTGTGTATAATGATATGTCAATAAACCTTTGAAAATTTTGAAAGGGATGTGCAAAATAGCCATAATATACAGTCTTTAATTAACTATTAGTAGAGAATAACGAGTAATGAATATACTTTATTACTCGTTTCCATTCATGTCAATTGCAGATACATGTTTAGTCTTCTCAAGCACCAACTATCAAATATCTCTCCTGATTGTTGGCACTTGACAATCACCTTACCTGAATTTTACTCAGGTGTAACTAAAGTCTGATTTAAGGGTTGTTTATATTTCACATCATTAATCAGAATCTGCAAAGTAACTCAAATAAGTGTAGTGGAGTAAAAATACCAGGTTACCAATTGTAGTGGAATAGAATTACAAAGTAACAATGAGCTGTCATGTGGGTATATATTAATGCTGCGCATTATCGACACAAGCGATTTTCACCCATTTATTAATTATATGTTTTACATTTGATAACACCAATGTGTTTAATACTGGCAACTTCTAATTGTGGGAAAAACGAAAACGTTCAGTAGAGACGTCCCATAGAACATTTTGCGAAACACAATAGCCAGCATGTGTAGTTCTGGGGGGGGGGGCGTTCGATTACAGTTTTGGATAGTCTGGCGTGGTTTCGTTCCATTTCACACAGCTGTTTGACGCTCTGTGTAACCTTACGGGGACTGTAGTCCTAAACGATAGCTGGGGATTATGGGTAGTGTAGTGTCTTCGGCCATCCTAAACTCAGAAATGTTGACAATCGCAATGATGCTCGAAATGTCCCTTATAGGCCTACGTCTGTTTCCGGTTATTTTATTTTGAAATTCAGTTCCTGACGGATGCCAAAAAAGCCCGAGATTATGGAATTAAACCAATAAATAAAAGCAAGGATAATTGTGTGTTATTGTTGAGTAAATAACAGTGTGTTATTTTGAAAAGAATAACAAATTAGAAGGAAACAAATATTTTAAAATACAGATTTCAGTATCCTGAGGCTCTGAGCCCCATTTATTTTCCTCACAGACGGCAACAAAAGTCCGAAATTATACGATTTAAAATAAAAGCAATAATTGTGGCTTGATATTGAGTAAGAACATGTTTTTATGAACCACACAGCTTCCGGTCTTCCACGACCCGACCGGAGAAAAAGACGTGCTGCAGGCACGAAACACATTACCAGTAGAAATACATTGCTTTTAAAATCGTGCTGTGCAACACGAAAAAAAGGGGAAAATCGTGTTGGTGAACACGAATCAATAGATTAAAAATCGTGTTGGTGAACACGAAATGCCATGAGACTGGGTTGCTCTGTGTGGAGCAACAAGTTCAGCTGTCAGAACTAAGTGAAAAACAAACAATGGCATAAAATATTATTAATATGTCGGGTACTAATAGATTTATATATTTTCTTCTCAGAGTGTACCAGAATGTGTAGTTATATGTTAGTATTTCTAAAAATCTCCTGGGGGAGAATCGCCCCAGACCCCCCTTCTGGGGTTTGTAAGTCACATTTTTCACATGTGGTGAATTTGCAGGATTGGCTCCAAGTCTGCCTTTTTATGAGTACAATACAAGTGTGTCTTTTTATGTTATACAGTTCAGCTTTGATTCTAGAAACTTGATGACCATCATCTCATTAAACCTTTTTTCAAAGCATACTTTAGTTCTGGGATATAAGGGATATATGCACTGTACTTCACTTTAATTAATATAGTATGCTGAAAAGCGTATACATATTACAGCACGATCTTTTGTTGAATAGATTTCAGTGGTTCAACATTTCGGGTCGCGATTTATTGACCAAGGAAAAAAGTGGGTCCCGAGGCCTGACCAGTTGAGAACCACTGCACTATTGGTTGTTAAAGTAATACTCACTAGGTACCTTTGGTATAACTCATGTAATGTAGGAAATAGTCACTTTTGGTACTTTAGGTAATGTTCAATAAAGCTGCTGTAGATAATACTCACTTTAGTAACCTTTGGTAGAGACACTTTAGGTATTACTCCTTAAAGGTACTTTTGGTAATACAAACTACCTGTAACTTATACTCACTTTAGGTAATTAAGGTAATAAATACTACTAGGTACTTTAGATAATACTCACTATAGGCACGTTATAGTTA